CCAATCTTTGACATGATGTTTAATGAATATATTTAATTTGAACATAATCAGTCAAAGCACGACCGACATTCGGCCATCAGATTGTGCAACAAATTGATGCGCATATGTATAATATTATGTATGACGTATATGTGAAGTTTGAATTTAATCAGTCCAGGTATGCCTAAGATACAGGTCCACACGCACGCACAGAGGTCAACCCATAATTCTCTATTTTCGGACTGTGTCCGAACGGGGACTAATAAGCTGAGAAATGTATACATAATAAGCAAGAGAATAAGCGATATTACTACACAGATTGTGAAAATCAAAATCATATCACTTGTCATACAGCCTAGTAGAAAGGTTACACTTAGAGTCAAATTTAATGAGGACATTAAAATATGAGGCAAAAAACATGATTGTTACTTTATTATCAAGTTCAGGTGAATATATCATACAAATATATAATCGTTGATAGAACGTCAATATACCTTGATTTAATAATTTTAATTCGTCATGTGGTAGTATCAAGTGTGGAAAAGTGCTTTTTAACAGAGTGTGAATCTGGTGTCATAAATGACACGTGGTTAACCAGCATGTTGCACAGTATTCAGATCACTCGTGGTAAAATGGCCAATAGAAGCATGATTAAATGAAAAAGATGAAACGTAATAGGGTGTATCACCATGATGATAATTGTGAATATTTATACATTGCAATGCCTATTTATGGTTGAATGTCTTGGAGGGTATTTTATTGTTGTATGTGTTACACCTAATAGGTGCAGACTGATATTGAAACTAAGGGTATGGTGGAACTAACCTCTTTGTTGTGTAGTGTATTGCTGATGTTGTTTCAATTTAACAGTTATTTTGTCCACACAATGAAATATCAGCAATAATCTGAATCTTACTCGGGGGGGGGGGTACGAATATATAAAATCCATAACGCTTCATCTCGCTGACAGTCCAGAGAGTAGGATGAAATAATGTTCAAACTATGATAGAAGCATGAAACATGGTACACAGTTTTAGTGTGCTTATCAAAATAAGAGATGAATCCATTTCGGATCTTTAATCTAAACACAGATGTTTGAGTAAAAAAAATCATTACAACTAAACTATATTCATGGAATACATCGCATATTTTAATCACGATAATACAAAATAGTAAAAATTTAAGATGTATTACACATTTCAATAACCAATTACTGGGTCTAATTGCAATTCCTGTTGATACCTTAGCATGTAAGATTTATGCTTGTGACTGCAAAATACACAGATTACATTTCTCAATTGCAAAATGACATAATACATGCGTTTGGATGTGGCTCTCAAATCTATTTTCCCGCTATCGCTAAAAAAGTTGAGTCTTTTTCGGTATTTGACATTGATATTGTAAATTTACGGTTCATTTTCTTTCATTTAACCATGCTCCTATTGGCCATTTTGTCACGGGTGATCTGCAACATGCTGGCCAACCCCATGTCATTTATGACACCACTATAGATTTATACCACGAAGTACATTGTATTACTTTAGTATTTGATTACACATTCAGATATATTAATGATGTACGACAGATTGTTCTCACAAAGTTGTAAAAGTAAAAAATAAACACAATGAGGCCAAATCATTTAATTTCTCTTTCAGGTATATTGAAGACGTATTCACCTGAACTTGATATTAAAGTCAAGTTTTTCTTGCTCATTTTTTATATCCTTTCTACTGTATGACAAGTGATATGACTTCATCTGTGTAGTAACATCGTCTTTACTCTTGTTTATTGTGTATACATTTATCCGCTTATTAGTCCCCATTCGAAGGCAGTCCGAAAACGGAGACTTATGGGTTGACATCTGTGCGTGCATCCGTGTGTGCGGACCTGTATCTTGGGCATGCCTGAACTGATTACATTCAAACTTCATACTTACATCATACATAATATTATACATATGCACATCAATTTGTTTCACAATCTGATTCAAATTGGCCGAATGTCGGCAATGCAATGACTGATTATGTTCAAATTTTATATATTCATTATACATCATGTCATAAATTGGTTTGACTATCCGATTCAAAATGGGCGATCGGTGGCCATTTTGATACAATTGCAATATTTCTCAATATGGCCAAGTACTCGTTTGACGATCAGATACAAGATGACTGAATGTCAGTCATTTTAATGTTCAAAATCATAATCAACCATCAGCTTAATCTGGATATATCGTTGACATGTTTTTGTTCCAAATATATTACTATAAACAAACTATATATCTTAAATTTGATAATTAACTGTGCCATACATGGCTTGTTTTATATAATATATAACATTGCATAAGGTATGGTGACCTTGTGAAACGTCATATACTCCTGTCTCCAAAGAGCGTCTTACCTCAATATTCACGCGTTTCCATCGCAGATTTCAAGAACTAGTGAAACAATCTGAGAAATCACACCTAAACAGATGATCTCTGATAGTTTCAACACTTGTCTTATATAGTAGATGCCTTCATGAACTGACCACTCAGATTGATGTACGGCGGCACTACCTGTATGGCAGGATATGCTCACTCTATTGCGAACATCTGATGTCACTCTTTAAGTTCATACATCAATCTTTTGTACATTTGTTGTAAAAGTTCTGAGACTGATCAGTTCATCTGGTGTAGCACATTAATCTCTGTATTATGGTAAACATTAGCCTATGTATGCATGTACATGTACTTTGTCTCTTGTACATCATTGTTGTTTTATATCCATTGTACTTAATTAATGGATGGGTATGTCAGCGCTTATATATGGGGATATAATGAATGCACGAGCTCCCCTGGTTCCAATAAATTGGTAAATCGTCATATCAACAGAATTATTACATATACAATAATATATACCAGAAGATTATGTGGACAGATATTTGCAATATCATATAATTTCCCACATCTGTCATTGTCTATACAGAGTATAGTGTTTTTTCTCTCAGATAGTATCTTTGTAATAGGTGATTTTCCGTACAATTGCGAGATCTCGCGAGATGCATGAAAGGGCGCGTCGAACGTCTGCCGCAAAAATAGAACGATTTGATTTTGAACTAGAATTTCTTTATTTCGCAGCTTACATTGACCGGCCGATCTTCGACAGAGGAATATTGCTTCCGAATACCCTCACTTAATCGAAATTGACTATCATCAA